AAACAGTATTGTACGTGGTTTTATATCTTTCTATAAATGTGTACTTTTCCCCACCACTTTTACATTATAAGATTATAATGACACATAAAGCCAGAATCTTCTTTCTCTTACCTATATTTTTATCCTCATTTCTTGGGCCAAGAGCTAGTGCAAAGTAGGGCCTCAATAAATATCTGTTAAGGGAAGGAATCAATGGATTAATTAAAGTAATATCAGGGTATGATCTCACAAGGGACTTACTCTTAAATTCCCATGGGGTATAATTATAGATCTAAATAAAAGTACACAGGCACTCCTAAGTGGCTCAGTCAGATGAGCACCCAATGTTTTATTTTGGCTCAGGTCATGATCTCAGGATCATGAGATGGAGCCCCACATTGGGCTCTGCACTGAGCATGGGCTCTGCTTGGGGTTCTCTCTCTCCTTCTGCCCCTCTCCCATGCTCTCTTACTCTCTAAAATTAACTAACTAACTAACTAAATAAATAAATGTGCACAGATTTATTTAAACTTTGAAAAATTTAGCTAAAGAAAAATCTACTTATTATTAATACACAGAAGAAATTTCTACAAACAACAAGGCCAGTCTGACTAGAAATGAGTAGAAGATAAGTTAATTGGTGGCTCCAATGTGTTATGCAAAAATAAGAGCATGAAAACTTAAAAAAATATTTTATCTTACTATGTAATATTGGGTCAAAGAGGAGATTTGATTACTACAGTGCTATGTATTCAAACTTATGGGATGTTGCCAAAGATTGTTTTTGATGGAGAGAACAATTTACTAGTTAAAATTGTTGATCTAAGATGCTGAAGAAAGGACAAGAAGATAATACCCAAAGACATAACTTAAGGAGTTAAGAAATGAGAGAGAGAGAGAGTAGCTGATGACTCAAGGTCTGACTGATACTTTGTAAAAAGATGACAACTAGAAACAACAACAACAACAACAACAAACAACAACAACAAACAAACCTTGGAAACAGTTTCAGGGGAAATACAGAAAATTACTTGAGAAGAGAAATTAAAAAGAACAGTAGTCATAGAAGTTACTTAGAAATTATGAGATAAATATTCCACACACAATGGAAATAAATTTGAAAACAACTACTTGTTTTAAATAAGTATTAAAACGGTAGAAAACCAAGGAGCTAGCCAGTAACCAGAAGCACAAATAAAGAGGCATCAAAGAAGCTCTGAACCAGATGCAGCAGGCTCTTATGATTTTTCTGGCTAATGTTACAATACCTTCAGCAAGTAAATAATCTTCATTTCACTGATATTTCCCAGGACATATCCCTAAAATTTCTTCCAATAATTTTATAATACCAGCATTACCAAATATAATAAAAGTTCATAAAAAACTGAAATTTTCCTGGGACTTCTTGTGTCTTGCCTTCTCCTTGAACCATTCTTCCTTAAGATGTGAAACCCTCCCATTACCAAGGTATCCGTGACAACTTTTCCCGGTCCTTCCCTGAATACTCCCCTGAAGATTGTGCTGCCCCAGGCACTCGCTATCCAATTCATCCAATTTTATTCTATGTGTTGAATTACAATGTGAATTTATTTTACCTTTTTCCCCCTCTTTTTCTTTTTTTTAACACACTTATTGTTTATCTCTGGCCACTGGAGGGTAAACTCCATGAAGACACAGCTGAAACCTAAGTGTTTTGAGCACTGCTAACCAGATAGTACACACTCAATAGATATTTGTAAATGTTATTTCTCACTTAGGATTAGACATGTAAACAGCTGATAGATTTCAGTTAGATACTATGAAGCAATTATATTTTAAGTATCATAATTAAACATATTTTTATATCACCTACCATGAAGTAGAGCAGTGCACTAAAAGGATAATAGATGATGAACTAATTATAATTTATCCTACAAAAGCAGGGATGGTTGGTTCAACATTAGCAAATCTATAATGTAATTGCTTACATACATGTAAGCATTTTCTAAAACTCAGCAAATATTCCTAACTGAAGCATTTAGTAAAATAGCATATCATGATGCAGAAAACTAAGGAAAAGTGAGGTTTTGTGTGTACTTCGGTATAGTCCCTTGGAACATACTAATAGATTATGGATATTGGTATGGTCTTGGCGACCACTACTCCTGAGCAGGAAGCCTGAATTCTAATTTGGCTCAGGTATCCCTCCAATTTGATGGCCCTGAAATAGCTCTGCACTCTGTAAATATTAACAAATAGAATCAATGGGAAAAGTTATTATTACTTTCTCTAGAAATCCCTACTTAGGCTTTAGGGAAGTTGGGCTAGAACATGTGGCTTGGCTTATAGGAGTGTGAAGTCCTCAAACTCTGAAAAAGTACAAGGTCCAGAAGACTCAGGCAAGGCTAAGAATCTTTCTATGCAAATGGAAGAAAAACAAACAAACAAACAAACAAATTATCCAGGCCTTCTGAGAGAGAGGACTTAAGTTTTAAGTTTCCAAATTAAAAAATAAATTATTAATGGGAACATAATTGGTAACAATATTGAAATATTTTTAAGAGCCTGGTATAATTTGAAAACTAGAACAAAAATAGAAATATAGCTTGATAAAACAGAATTGAATCCAGAAACAGAACCAAACTTTAAAATAATATTTCAAATCTGTTGGGGAAATATGGCATTAGGATAAATGACTAGTCGTTTATGAAAAATGTTAAATTCTTACGTTATTCCTTATACCTGAAAAACTTCCATATTCATTTCTAAATAAAATATGAAAATGGAATTATTAAAAGTTCTAGAAGAAAATGAAAATGGAAATAAAACAAATCTTATGCATGTCAAACCCTTTCTCATACTGATCTAAAACCAGAAAAAAGGCCCCACAAAATTAATTTTAAAAATATAAACACTACTTGCGGTAAAAACATGACAACAAGTTTAACAGACAAATGACAAACTGAGAGAAAATGTTCAAGATTTGACAGTCAGCTATAAGCTGCTTCTACACATCATTAAGAAAAAGTTACTGTCTAATAGAAAAAGAAAAAGTGTGAACATGTAATTTTAAAATAAACATATCATTCATAATCGTTATTAGAGATCAAATAGGTACAAATTGTAATAAAGATGAGATATCATTTTTGCCAATCAGAAGAAACTTTTCCTTTTTCCAACCATAATAACAATGACATAATGTTAATAATAATGGTGATGGAGAAAATCAGGCCTTGTAATAGACTGTTTGTAGAGTATTTGACATAAATTCATAAACTGTCATTTGAAACTACCTGTTTATCACTATTATGAAATAAGCATACATTGAAATAATACATACGGAATTCTGTATTAATTAAATAATCTGGTAAGTGCATAGATATGTGTGTAAGGATATACATAGCACTGTTTTTTAATAGAATTGGACACAGATGTTGGACATAATTGCAAGGGAATTCTATGCAGTCATGATACACAGAGTAATGAATGTGTATAGTTTCTCTGGTGCCTCTATATACACAAAAAATGGAAACTACACATGAAATATTAACATTTGTATATTAAAGCATTACATTGATCTCCATTTTCCACTTCTTATATACAGAATTTTTAACAATTGTTATAACTGCTTATAATTTATAATGACAATCTTTACATATAGAAAGATATATAAAATGTATGTAATCAGAAAAAAATGTGTAGTAATAAAATGGGTAAGAAAAGAAGACTTGTCTTCAAGATATTAAATCATAGTACAAATTTTCAATAATTTATGTAATTAATACCGGTATAAGAATCAACAGACAGGTCAAGTAGGTTTGAGATTGTTGATATTTAAATATAGATAGCTGATGTTTATGTATATGATAGTTATGCCAAAGGACATATGGAAAAGGATGGATTATTCACCAAATGGTATAGAGAAATGTGTGAACTTTGATCCTTTTTTTAAAATCATACAGTATATACCACATTTTGGAAAAACAAATTAATTCTGAAAATAAAGTAATAGGAAATTGAGTGACTTTTGATCTCTTTGGAAAATTAAGAATTATTTACTTAATGATGAATCATGGGAATCTATTCTGAAACCAAGAGCACACTGTATACACTGTATGTTAGTTAACTTGACAATAAATTATATTAAAAATATTTTTATTAATATGAAAGCAATGGAAATTATCATAGAGGAAAATAATAGTTTGTCTAAGTACATCAAATATTAAAGCAATGAGTGCAGAAAAAACATACCTTTAGACATAAATTTCTTGATTTATTTTCACAGTCAAATGTGAAGGCAGAACAAAGCATCTCATTCATGAGAAAACTCACTTCCCAGGTGTCTTATGTAGGAAGATACCCACGGAGGATAGACTTAGAAAAAAAAAATGCATGAGTACAACAGACGAAGCAGTAAAGAGATCCAAGATCAAGTTGATCTAACTCTTTAGCTCTACAGTAGGCCAAAAGGTAAAGCTTGAGAGAAAGATGCTCCACAGAATAATCACTATGATGGAGACTTTAGAAGAAATAAGATATGAAAACAGCACAAAACACCATGAAGAAAAAAAGAGTAATCAGAAACTTCAGGAAAAACAAACAACTGTAATTGAAAGCCACAGATCAATTGTAAAGAAACCAGTCCAAGACAAAGCAAGAAGACTTTAGTGTTCAGGAAGAAAAATAGAATAAAATGGCATAGGAAAAATAAAAATAGAATTACATTTCAAACATGAGTATTATGAGAGTTACCGAATAAAAACCATGGATTCATTTTTTCCCAACAAAATGAAAGAAAAGCAATTAGCAACTCCAAGAGAAAACTACAATTCAGAAAAAGCCCGATACAAATATGAAAGAGAAGAAAAATAGTATGATTTTAGACACCTACTAGGCTTTAACAAAGAAGAATACTTTGAGTGGCACCGGAGGTGCAACACTGAAAGTGTAGAAAGCGAGGTATAATTATAAAAAACTGCATGATTTTCTAGCGAATTTTATTTACCTAGTCATGATTGCATCAATGTTTGTTTCATTTTTAGAACCAACCTATAGATAAAGCAAGAAACATTTAACGACGTGTGCAAAATACACAAGAAAGTAGAGAAAGAGAATGATATGCAATGACAGAGTCCTTGGTAAGTTCATTTACACATTAAAGTGGAAGCAAGAAGTATTTATTGCCCACAGGTTTAAGGAAATGACTTAAAGATCTAATAAAAAGCAATAGAAGAATTAAAGATGGGCTTACAAAACTAATTGGATGTAGAGATAGAAGCAGGGGAAGATATGAATTAGTAACCTCCTCATTTATCAAGGATTCAATTGATGAGATTTTTTATTATGAGTGAATTATTTGGACTTCTATCTGGGAATGCCTGAAGAAATAAAAATAGGAATGCAAAATGGAGTTAACTCAGGAAAGTGCCCTTGAGATAGGAGGAATGAAAATGAAACTGTTGCTACTCAGGTTAAAAAATGTAAATTTCTGTATTATGATAGTTTTATAAATAAAGTAAAATGCAAAAAGCATACTGGAAATATTTGAAACACAAAAAGGATATTTTCTGGGTTAAAAATACAAATATCTTTGAAATAAAAAATAAATATATCAATTTTCAAAAGAAATGAGCCCAAACTGGCAATTTAAAAAAGCAAAAACTGGGGCGCCTGGGTGGCTTAGTCGGTTAAGCGTCCGACTTTCGCTCAGGTCATGATCTCGCGGTTCATGGGTTCGGGCCCCGCGTTGGGCTGTGTGCTGACTGCCAGCTCAGAGCCTGGAGCCTGTTTCAGTCTGTGACTCCCTCTCTCTCTGACCTTCCCCTGCTCACGCTGTCTCTCTCTCTCCTAGAAATAAATAAATAAATTTTAAAAAATTAAAAAAATAAATAAAATAAAAAAGCAAAAATGTACTTTCATATTTTATCCACCAAATAAATCAATACAATTAAGCAAAAATAAGGTACTTTTTAAGTAATTAAGTTTTCAAAATATTTAAAAATATTATAATACCAATGTAACAGTAGGGGCAGTATGTATTTCTACACTTTGCAGTAGGAAGTGTTAAATGGTGAATGTTTATAGGTCAAAAAAGAATAATTTTATCTGGCAGCTTGACCCAATAAATTTAGTTTTAGAAATTCATCTTAAAGGTATAGTGCCACCATTTAAAATTCATAAATGAGCATATCCATATAAATATTATTTATAATAGTTAATATTTAAAAATTTTGACCAGCTAAATAAATAAAAATAGATGAAGGCCTAATGAATGTTTTCTTAGATCATATCAAAAGTGAAAAAGAAAACCACATACAGGAGTGCCTGGGTAGCTCAGTTGATAAAGTGTCCTTCTGGCTCAGGTCACAGTCTTATGGTTTGTGAGTTTGAACACCGTATTAGGCTTTCTGTCCCCCTTCCACTCCATCCCTCCCCTGCTTGCTTAGGTGCTCTCACTCTGTCTTTCTCTCTCTCTCTCTCTCTCTATCAAAAATAAATAAAGATTTGTACAAATTTACAAAAAAAAGAAAAGAAAAGCACATACCATGTAAGATTGAGAAATGCTGCTTACAATCTCAATGTTAATGTATTTCTATTACTCATACATATTTAAGCAATTCATTTACATAATGTAATCATTATATAGAATGAAAGATTATCTGTATGAATGTGTATACAAACTTAGAAACAATTGTAAAATACTACTATTCTGAGTGGTTTGTTTATGGTTAATATTTATCATGTTGATATTTCTATGTTTCAGATTTTTAAATGTGTCCTTTTATATTATAACCAGACAGACTATATATTATTTATGATTGATAAACTAAACTTAAAGAAAATAAAGTTATTTTTATTTCATAAAGCCAAATATAAATTACCTAGGAACTCTGCTTAGCTTAAATTATATCACTTAAATGAAGCTGCAAATTATTTTCAAGGACTTTATGAGACTTACTGCTGAGTGACTAGATACAACTAATTCATCATTCATATAACAAATCCCTTATTCACGAATAGAAAATGAGTGCTCTCTGAACACATGATCAAAAATTAGTAGAGATTTAATTAATGAAGTTTCGTTGGCCCCATAGAAAGTTTTAGTTAGCTATTTTAGGCTTAATTGCAGACACAGAATTTCTCCAGACACAGTTAACACATATGTTTATAAACTTTAAAATTAAATACATTTATGTGATTTTATTTTCATGGTAATTTAGCATTATGATGCTGTTAATTTTATTTCAGGACCTATTCTGAGGACATTATCAAGCAAAAAAAGCAATAGGGTTTTTCAAATTAGATTTCAGTGTATCATAAATAAATCAGTAGAACATATCAGTTATACACACACACATAAAAAAAACTACAGGTTTGCTGTGAAATTTATTGCAGTAAAGAATATTATACAGGCATATCTGTTGAAGTTATAAACTTCAACCAAACAGCCTTAGATGATAGTCTCAGACCATGTACCTTGAGGGAAATTGTATTCTACGCTCACTGTGTACAACAAGTTCTTCACAAAAAGAAAACAAAAGTTAGTTATTCAGTAAACAGGAAGCATGAGTACCTGAATTATTTGAAAATAAAGATATTCCATTTTCTTCTAGTGGAAAGGGGAAGGAGAATAGAAGAGGGTATCTGTAAATGAAGAATTAAAATAAATGGGGGCCTATTTCAAGAAGCAATTATAAACTCTACTAGAATTTAAATCTATTTTATAGACCACAGGGAAATAATGTGGGTTTTTTGAGGGAGGTATAACAAGATCGGGCCATACTGTGGACAGAATATCCCACAGAGATTCTCTGTCAATGAAACTTTCTTAATTTTAAAATTTAGGAAATGCATGCTAAGTAAAGGCATCCATATGAATAATCACAGTGAGTTTTATCATAGGAAAGGCTCTGAGAAGTCCTGTGATAAAATGTAACCTCGGGGGAAAAATGTAAAATCTGTTCAAATTTGCAGACTCAGTTCTGGCTAAATATATTTCATCAAAAATTAGTTTGGATTATAGCTACTCTTCTAAATTATCTCTGAAAACAGCTGCCTTATAATGATATCAATGTATTCTACAATGAAGAGTGTGACATAACAATAGAAGTCTTTATATTACTCATTGTTCTTATGATATACTGGGCAGTATTCATTTTTAAAAATTTCCTACATTACCTCTCACTTCCTGCTCTTAAGCTTGTCTTTTCATGTAAAAAATTAACAAGCCTGGTTATTAAATATGTAAAAATGTAAATGTCAAGAAATATCTTAAAAAGTGTAAGAATTATTATTTTAAAATAGTAAATAGTTTTTTCCTTATAAGATTTATTATAGTTTATAAATTCCCTTAAAGGAATTAAAAATCAAATTGTAAAATCAAAACTCAAAAAGAATTTATTTTACTGTTACTATGCATGTGAATCCATCAGAATTATTTTCAAATCTTAAGTCAATCCCTGTAATCACCACTACGCCCCCACCCCTGGCCCAAAAAAATCCAAAACAACTATAAACACCCATTCCATCCCAACTAAACTACAATTTAGGATTTCTGAAGAATTTAATTCATATTTCATACACAGAATTTATTTGGTGAGACTAAAAGAGTATTTTACCAAACCACTTGCTCTAAGCAGACACTGTTCACACAGGCACCATCAAAAAAAAAAAAAAAAAAGAAAGAAAGAAAGAAATATTAACATCTTTGAATGTCAGTGTTTGAAATATATCTTAGACTATTGACAATTCTGTCTGGCAGAGCTTTCTGACCACCTCATGAATTAGGAGAATGAATGTGGCCTTGAAAAGTTAGACTTTCTTTTGGAAAGTCATATTCACAGTGACTTGTCATCTCCTATTGTAAAACTTCCTCTCCGTGGAAGTTCTCTTGGGTCTTTATTTTCACTATTAAAAGAGACCAAACTCATTATGCTATTTAACACCTTGAACTAGACAGCAACTTGGCACCGAAAAGGAACAGCCAGTGTTATATTTGCCATTAAATACAGGCACCTTTTAAACTATTCAGAGTGCGATTTTATTAAGCAAAAGGCATATTATTGGCCCAGGGCCATTTGCTATAAATATTTTCTGGTCAAGATCAATTGATGTAGAACATCTTGAATAATGCTGAAGGAAATATAAAACAAGGCCTAAATGTCAGATGATATAAATATTACATAAATATTAGAAATTAAAGTTAAGTTATTTCTAAATTGTATTTTTTTGTATAATCTGGATATTGTTGACATGGGTATATAGAATCCAATTCTAATTATAAAAAGAATGCTGAATTTATGCCACATAGAAAATATGCAAATTTACCTCCTGTCTAGTGCCTTCAAAGGAGAAGCCCTGAAAAGCAAATCAATTTTTGGCTTAAGAGAGAATGTGCCTTTCCCTTCAAATTTGGGAACACTAACCAATCAATATCATTTTGGATGTCCTTTTTTGTCTTCATTACTCTAAACTAAGAGTACTGAAAGTTAAACAATGGTAAAGGAGAAAAATTGAACACACTGTAGTGAAATTTTACAGATGCCAGAAGCTTATTTCAGTGGCTTCTAAGTGGTTAACTTCAACGTGTTTCAAGACAGTAACTTAGTTATTCTTGTGATGTTCCTAAAGGGACATAGAGCAGTAATAGGACTTCCTGAGAATATGGAAGAGAGAGAGAGGGAGAGAGAGAGAGAAAGAGAAGTAACTATTATGGAAGAAACTGACAGTTTTTATTTTAAAAGAATCCAAAAGAAAATCTCTTATGTACCAAAGATATAACTTTTATAAATAATATTTTGTGCTAGATATCATCTCTTCCTTGCCAATGCAGTTACAACATTGCTGTTTAAAGAAAGAAAACCATATTTTGAACTCATATAATATGTATATGTACAGGCACATATGAAAATTATTTTGATTTGTAAATATGTTTTTCACATGACAGACATGTCTTAGATATTTGCTGTGTTTCTCCTATAGGTTCAAAAATGTGCGTGATTTGTTCAAAATTTTTGATTTTTGATGAATATGGGTTTTTTTTTTGTAATTTAATTACTCTGAAGCCACAATCTCCTTCAACTAAGCAAGTTTTGGGTTT